GGTCGAAGCATACCCTGTAGCAGAATACATACCAAATGCTTGAACTAAATGCCCCTTCCTAGAATTGTTACCTTCAAGCACCTCGAAAGCATGATCACACACATCTGAAACCCGGTACCTATGCTCCATGAGTCCTCCCCTAGCAAATGACTCAGAGCCCAACACGAAAGGTACTATACCGAACTGGATCTCTTCCACGGTACTAAACATGTCCAGATGCCTCTTCACTGGTTCGCGCGCCCCTGCAGGATATACAGTTGAGAACTCTTCCGTCCTTCCAGCACAATATGATGACACCTTTGGACCTTCAAGACTCCTCCTCCATTGGAGAATGTGTACCCATTAGAATCCACGGTACTCAGGGAGATGAGATTCTTCCTTAAGTCTGGAACATGTCAAACCTGGCCAAGAACTCAAACTGTCCCATCCAATAACCACAATATGACACAACTGATTCCAACAACCCTACAAGATTGGTTGTTTCCCATGACAACTTCACCTTACTTTACCATTTCATATGTTTCAAACTACCCTATTGGGACACGTATGTAACGAACACGCTGAATCCAGAATCCACTCCTCATCCAGCTTAGATTCTATGTCAGATACGGTCAGCAAAACATCTTCGCCATCCGAAAATCTCTCAGCAATATTAGTCTCGCCTGAATGATCAGATTGCCTCCCATGATTTGCAGATAAATTACCTTTACCATGCAACTTGTCACAATCCTTCTTGATGTGTCATTTTCTCCTGCAGTATAAACAAACCTGATTGCTGAAGTTAACCCTCGACTTACCCATCCGTAGATCACGTACGAAACCAGAGCTTCTTCATCCTTAGCTCGAACGATATGCTTCATCTTCTCATTTGAAAACAAATAATAAGCATCGTCAATGGTGAGTATGTCACGACTGTAGAAGATTGTGTCCCTAAACGACGAATACGAAGCGGGCAGTAAGCACACATGATCAAGGCCAGATCATCTTCATCATACTTGACTTCTAGCGTTTCCAGATCAGCGATAATTTCCTTGAACACGGCTAGATGGTCCTCCAAAGAATTCCCTTTTGCCATGCGATGAGAATAAAGCCTCTGCTTCATATGCAACTTACTCGTCAATGTCTTCTTTATGCACAGTTGTTCCAGTTTTAACCACAATGCAGCAGCTGATTTCTCCTTAACCACGTCCTGAAGAATGTTGTTAGAAAGATGAAGATGAATCATAGACAACGCATTTTGATCCTTCTTTTGCTTCTCCTCTGCTGTCCAAGTTGTTGGCATTTTATCAAAACCCCAACAGAACATCATCCAAATCCATCTGCGCCGAATTGCTTTCATCATTACTTGCCACAGAGAAAACCTTGTATTGCAATTCAAAAGCGGAATGTCATACTTCATGGCAGCCATCGAAACTAGAAATCTCAAATAAAATCAACATGTAACTCTGATACCACTTGTTGGGACCCTTTGAACCCACGTTTTGTGAAAAATCGAAAGAGATTAATGGAGCAATATGA